GTGTTTCTACGTCATATGGGTATTTATTTTTATAGGAAAGAAAAACCCAAACACACATACATACATATATATATACACACACACACACACAGCAACAGACATACATAGAAAGAGATAGGAGTGAACGACGACGAGGACTCAACGAGGCGTCATCTGCGTTTAGGGTTTGCCCTTTCTCTTCTCACAGCTGTCGCGAAGTCGTCATCATCATCATCATCATCATCATCATCGTATCGTATCGTGTCGTGTCGTGTGTTGTTGTGGTTTTATCGTGCCAGGTAATTAACTCGATTAGCTGATGCTCGTCGAGAAAGTAACACTAAACGCGATGCAACCGATTAAAATCTTCCTACCCACCCTCTCACTTCCTTCTCCTCTCCCTTTGTATCTATCATTTTTTTTTTATTTTACTTTTTATCGTTCTCTTTAACCCTCACTACTATCTATGTCTGTATGTCTGTGTGTGTGTGTGTGTGTATATTTTATTATTTTTGTTCTTTCTATTGGACGCAATTTCGTGGGACACACCGATGTACTCACGGATGACTAACATCGAATTCTCTCGAGAATTGTTTTCTTTTTTTGTTTTTTTATTTGTTTTTTAATAAATGAAGAAAAAAAAGTATAAAAAGTAAACGGAACTAAATTAAACTTCAGTATTGTAATTTATTAATTTGTTAATTTATTATCTATGATTTTCTTTTTTTTTTACCGTAAATATTCGTCCAATTTGAGAAAACTATAATCCATTTTTTAGAGGTTAGAATGCACATTGAATTCTTTAGGAAAATTTTCTTTTTATTTTTTAATCGATGAAGACAAAAACTAAACACCAAAAAAAAACATAAAAGAACAAAATTGAACCCCCTCCCTCCCCTTCCAGCAGTATTGTAATTTATTTCCTACGCAATTTTCTTTTTGCCATAAATATTCGTCCGATTTAAAAAAAAACAAAAAAACTCTAATCCATTTTAGAGGTTAGGATGCATGATTTTTTTTCTTCTTCTATTTTAAAGACGCGCCCCTTCTTTATTCGTAAGATTTATCGTAAAACTCGTTAATGTAACGCGATCTTTCTTGTACGTTCGCTCGAATTCGGTAGAGGATGAAGGAAAAAAAAAGAAAGAGAACTGACAATGAGAGAGAGAAAGAGAGAGAGAGAAAGATAGTAATAGGTAAAGAGTGTTATACCCCCCTTACGCGTTAAATTACTTCGTGATTCGATACGTAGGAAAAGGGCGGAGCGACGCAATTCGACTCCGGATTTTCGTCGACACGACACAATGCATCTTTTTTGTCGACGTTAGTTTTCGATCGATCGACCTCTCTCAAGAGAGAGAAAGAGAAAGACAAAGATAGAATACCATTCAGTTAGTTTTACTTCTCTAACTTTTCGAAAAAAACAAATCTTTCTTCAACATGGCGGACATATTCTTTACGCGCGTCCGCCATTTTGTCTTGCTCAGTCGTTCGTTTGTTTTGCTAAACGTAAAAATAATTAACGACTAATCAAATATATATATATAAAAAAAAAAGCAATTCTTTTGGATTCGTTTTTCTTTACTAATTTTTCAAAAAAAAAAAAAACGAAACAAAATCTTTCTTCAACATGGCGGACCCTTATTCTCTGTGCGTCCGCCATTTTGTCAAATTCTTACTCGTACATTCGTTCGTTCATTTGTTTGAATAAACGTACAAATAATTAACGCGTGTTTTGTCGAATGTAATCGAATGCAAAAAAGGTATATACATATATATACATACATACGTGTATTATATATATGTATATGTATATATGTATACCAATATCGAATAAGTGGAATCGTCGATAACAATTTTCATACGAAATAACTCTTTATTTACTGTGCAACCCCGGTCACACAACACACAACACCGGGAGTATTTTGCGTCGAATATTTTTGCCTTTCCTCCCCACCTCTCTCTACCCCAGGTACCCCCACCACCCGTCTCCTCACTTGCCTCCATCGGGTTTTCTAAAAAACAAAAAAAAAAAAGTTGTTTCGAATTGTTATCGACTCGTTTTACCAACTGTGGTCGTACGTCGAAATCGTTCGTCGAATCGCATCGAACGGGGATGATGAAAAAAAACTGATTGGAAACACGACAAAAATAAAAAAAAAACAAAATAAAGATACTACTAGGTCCCATGGTTAAAAGGGAAAGGGGGTGGGTGATAAACGAAGGGATACATATGGAAACGGGTGGCAGGGGGGGGGGAAGTAGTGACAGGACTCGTGCCACGAACAAAAAAATGTCGATTTCTTGGTGTAGTCTCAAAAAAAAAAAAAAACGAAGAAGACGAAGAAGCCAGGAAAGAGCAAAGCACCACCACCACCACCACCACCACCATCACGACCTCGACAATCTCTTCCTGAATATGTGTTCGCTATTAGGGGGATTATATTACGGTAGGTATAGATACTTAATCTATATAGGATATTAAACCCAAATAAAAAAAAAAAAAGAAAACGTAATCTAATCGATTCGATCATCCTACAAGTTCTTTCTCTCTCTCTCTTTCTCTCTTTTATTTTTATCTTTTTCTGGTACCTCAAGTTTTCCCTTTTTTTTTTTTATCATTCGACGAATCAGTTCTCTCCCCTCCCACCAACCCACACACTCTTCTTTTCACCCTGATTCCACCCTTATTCGACGAATTCGAATCGTGGCGATCACTCGAGTTCCGAAATCAAAAAGCACCAGGTTCTTTCTCTCTCTTTCTAAACTTTGAAACGAACGGGACCCGCCGAATGGGCTTTGACATATCGTCCCAATGGTGGTTTCGTCAACAATTTTGTGGTCCCGACGGTAGATAGATAGAAAAGGTGTGTACAAGAGAAACAGAGAGAGATAGAGAGAGAGAGAGAGGTAGAATCCGTAAAAAAAAAAAACAACAACAAATGAATGGTTAGATCGAACTTCAACGTAAACGAAATCGGCCAGGGATCGTACCCGGTATAAAACCATCATACCGACTGCTGCTGCTGCTGCTGGCTGCTGTTACTCTCAGCCGATCGATTTGACGAGTAAAATGAAACACACAGCTTTGAGAGGATACATAGAAAAAGATATACATATATATATATAAAGAATGTAGAGAGAATTGGTGTGGTGTACCCTTCCGATACCCAGTAACTCTCTCTCTCTCTCTCTCACTCTTTTTCTCTGTGATGCTTTACAAAAGATTATCGCGTGCGGACTTGGTTTGGGTGACGTTGTAAAAAGAATGAAACTAAAAACAGAGCATGAGAAATGAGTAGAACCAACGAACAACTAACTGAGTGAAGTGAGCGGTGAGTGAATGTTGAGTGAGTGAAGTGAGCGGTGAGTGATAGTTGAGTTGTGAGTGAAGTGAGTAGTGAGTAAAGTGAGTGATTGTTGAGTGAGTGAAGTGAGTGGTAAGTGAAGTGAGTGATAGTTGAGTTGTGAGTGAAGTGAGCGGTGAGTAAAGTAAGTGAGTGGTGAGTGAGTGAAGTGAGCGGTGAGTGAAGTAAGTGATTGTTGAGTGAGTGAGTGAGTGAAAAGAAAAAGTTAGACTTACAGATGAAAGGTTTGTACAGAATATACCAGAAAAAGAAAGAAAGAAAGAAAGAGAATGAGAAAAAGAGAGAGAGAGAGTGAAAGAGGGATATCAGAAGAGAGGAAAAGAGTCGAAGGTGCGATGAGCAGGGTATGAGAAGGATGATTGAAATGCACCAACATACTTATGTTAGATGCGCGTACTTACTCAGAGATAGAAGATACGTCTCGTGTAGGAAAAACACTGTGTGTGCAGAACAAGAGAGAGGGAAAGAGAAAGTAGAGGGAAGGGAAAGGGAATGGGAATGGGGTAGGGAAAGTATATGCCGCGAGAGAAACGCGTCGATGGAAGAAAAGAGAACGAAACGGCCATTGTGTCGTACGTTTTCCCTCGTGGTTGAAACTAAGAGCCCCGTCGGTAGAGTGAAGTTATATGATAGTAGTAGTAGTAGTAGTCATCGAAATGACGATGATGTTCACGTCGATGATGGCAAAACATTCTTTCTTTCTTTTTTTGTTTTTCTGTTTCACTCTATATCTTTCCTATGCTGCTTGTTTTTTTTTCCTTCCTTCTTTCTTTCTTTCTTTCTTTCTTTCTTTCTTTCTTTCTTTCTTTCTTTCTATCCATCTATCTCTTCTTCTTCTTCTTCTTTTTCTGTTTCTTTCTTTTTCTTCTGTTTTTTCTTTTTCAGGAGTATCGAAGAAAGGCAGGGTACGCAGTAAAAGCGCGAAACCGCATCTCGCCGTCAAACAATAAGATCAAGCAGCTTTTTTTTTTCTGCCTACTCCTCCTCCACCTCCACCTCTACCTCCAGCTCCTACTCCTCTGCTCGTTTATTGTAATCGTTTTTTTTTTTTTCTTAACAAGTCGCGAGACTATGTACCCACGAAGAAAAGAAATTTTTCGTCGATATGAAATTTTCTTTCTGTCCTTTGCCGTTTCTAGAAATTACTTGTTTCTTTTTTTTTTTTTTATTCCGTAAGATTGATAAAGAGACACAGAGGGAGTGTATAAGTTTATTCAATTTCATTCTGACGATGGTGATCATCGTTTTTCTTTTTACTCGTCGACTAATCGAGGGGTTCGGAAAGAATTTTCTTTTTGATGTTTTTTTTTTTCTTTTCTTTTGAACAAAGCTAATTCTTATTTAAAAAAGATCTTACGATTGCGATTTCCATGCCCCTTTTTTTTTATCTTCATGCATTTATAGGTTAAAAGAGGATTTTTCTCGTACGTGTGAAATTCAAAATCATTCCCACAAAATTCTCAACGAAATCTTAACACTTGGCATGCGGGTTATACTTGTTTTCTGTCACAGATTATAAGAGACAATCATAGAAATTTAAACAAGAAATATAACCTAAAAATAACCAATCGGAATAAAACAAATGAATAAATTAAAGTAAGGTGTGAATATAGAAATAGAAGGAGAAGAGATGATGCACCTTGTTTGTTTTTTTGTTGTTTTTTTTTTTTTCCATAACTCTACCGTTCATTTAATAAAATCAATCGTTTGGATACTTATCACAACAGGTAGAATATATTCGTAGGAACCCTGGCCGTGTCTTAGGACGTAGCTAAGGTCTATAACCCCCAAAAAACAGAAAGAGAGAAACACAGTCCTGAGATTACGCGTCCAGGACGTAATTTTTTTTTCAAAAAAATCTATATATACATACACATACACTCACACACACRCACATATACACGCACCCTAGTGTAGCAGCGCACTTATACGAACTTTGCATGAGTTATATCGGTCTCTCTTTCTATTTTTCATCTCTGTCTCTTTCTTTTCAACTCTCTCTTTCTCACTTTTATCTATTTCTCTCAAGGACATCGAAATAGAAGACAATTCTTCGTTTTTCGACGTTTGCACGAAAAGTCCCGAGCCCGCGAAGCAAATAAAATTAAACTAACCTAAAAAATAAACAAAAAGTAGAATAAATATAAAGAAAGAAATAGATAGGAAGATTGAGAAAGAATGAGAGAGAGAGAGAGAGAGAGACGGGGGGAATAAAGTACATTCTTTTATGATGCATAATGATCATCATCATTATCAGGCTCATCATCCGACGTCGAGATCAACGTCGGAGGGACGAGCATCGTCGATTGACACCGAGAGAACGTCCTCCTCTTCCTCCACCTCCTTCTCTTCCTCCTCCTGTTTGTCCACGTCCATTATTTCCACCCGTTCCTCTTGATTATCTTTCCTTAGGTTATGGTGGTGGTGGTGGTGGCGACTGTCATCGTGGTCGTGGTCGTGGTCGTGGTCGTGGTCGTGGTCGTGGTCGTTTCTCAAGGTGATTCCTTTAGGTTGTTGTTGTTGTTGCTGCCGGTCGAAGACGATCGCAATCGGGCAGAATAGCGGACGGTGTTATTGCGAGGTGGATTGGGTTGGTTGGCCGTTGGGTGGTGGTGGGGGTGGCGGTGGTGGTTGAGGGTGCACTTGGTGGGGCAAAAGGGTATGGGGCTGCACGTGAGTCGGATGATGATGATGGTGTTGATGGTGATGAGAATAAAAGATCGGTTGGGCCGTTTGACCGACTACTTGGGCACACGATGTACCAACTCCAACTCCAACCCCAACTCCAACGCCAACACCGACGGAATGGGAGAGCACCGAGGAAACGGCCGAGGACGGTGCCGTAGGTGGTTGTGGTGGTGCCGCAACCGATACCGATACTCCTCCCGATGTTGCGCTACCGGCTGATGCTTCGTGATACAATATCGGTACCCTGACCAATCTCTGTGCAGCATGCGCCATGTTGGCTGCCTCCAATTCGGCCGCCAATTGTCTTTTCCACTTGTTACGACGATTCTGGAACCAGATTTTCACCTGAGTCTCCGTTAATCTCAAGGACGCCGCTAAACCTGCCCGTTCCGACGAGGATAGATAACGTTTCATGTCGAACGTTGATTCCAATTGAAAAACCTGAGATCGCGAGAACACCGTACGCGTCTTCTTCTTGCGTTTAATGCTACCGGAATCCCGCGAGTCTAGGCCCACTTGTACACCGTTGCTCTGAGCACCGGTACCCCCGCCACCACCACCTCCACCGCCTCCGCCAACCCCTCCACCACCAGCCGACCCACCACCGCCCACGCCGCCACCTCCTCCGTGCAATCCTGCGTTCGTCGAGTCTACGTCGCCGTCGCCATCTTGGCAATCGTCCCCGTCGGCCAACTCGTCGTGTGCCTCGTCCCCGCTCGATGAACTTCTCGTACGGTGTAGCCGGTCCTCGACGTTCTCGTCCTCCAGCTCGTCTGCTCGCACACACACAACACGTTTTCATATCCTCGATTTATTTTGTTTTTTCTTTTCTATCTATTTGTTTTTTGTTTTTTGTTTTTTTGAGTCAATGGGTTTATCATTTCTTCGCAAATCCTATGTAATATTTTTTATACTAATTAAACCTTACTATATTCTATAACTTATATCAACTACTCGTTTGATTTTATTTAATTTTAAGCGATTATTGTAAAACTACTACTACTACAACGCGAATTCACGAATAATCTAACAGTTATCGGTTGCTGCTAGCCACATTGATTATTTACTCGATTGGTAGTCCGCGCCAATTAATATTCTATTTATTCGCATCGAACTTAATTGGCCTAGCTAGATCAAGTATCCGTGTGTAAATGCGTTTTCGTCTCTAGCGCGTTTCAGTTCGTTCGTGATAATTGTTCGATCGACGAGTATTAGCTAACGTATTTCGAGAGAGAGAGAGAGAGAGAGAAACAGAAAGAGAGAGTCATTCTCTCAAACTGTCCCTCTCTCTTCCCCCCGTGTGTATTTGATAATCGATCAAATTTATAACACACACATACACCTATATATATATATATAAGGTTAGTTTAATCAATTTCGCGGTCACGTTTGAATTGTTAGAACGGAATTAGAATGGACACATTTGAGGGATCCCAGAAACTAGAAACGAAAGTGACAAAAGAGAGAGAGAGAGAGAGAAAGAGAGAGAGAAAGCAAAACGATCGTCGTCGTCGTCGTCGTCGTCGTCGTCGGGTAAGGCGATCGTCGTTTGGTTTGTCGCGGCGGAAGCCCTGGAAGCCCTACTATTCGTCGTCGTAGTACACGTTCACGCCTATAAATATGTGTGTATGTATAACCAACCACTTGCTTGCCTTTTCTTTCCCTTCGATCGTCTTACCCCCTAAACTCTTTCTCCATTCTTTTTTCTTCTCTTCCGTTTCTCTCAATTACCAGGTATGATAAAATACGTTCGATCGATTCCCCTTCTGAACCTTCACAATTTTACCAAACATATTATGAGATTATAATCTAGCCCAGACTAACAAGTATATTACATTGATCAAAATTTTCTAAATGGTACAAGTGTATTCAAAGTATCACGTAGGATCAAAACTCAAAACTCAAAACTAAAAGGGAACACACAATGGGAATTTCTTTAGAGATATTTTTCTATTATTAAAATTGTTCAAAACCCCTAGATTCAGTCCTTACACCCACCCTTAGGTGTTAGTTATCGATCGAGACGCACTTAACGATCTTTCTTTTTTGTCCCCCGAAAAGAATGGTTAATATTATTAATCTAAAGTCGATCTAAATCCGATAACTAATAATAATAGGACCCCCCCCNTATATATATAATTAATAATAAAAAAGGTAAGTACACTTACCTGAATGAAGATATTCTTCTTCTACATAATCGACGAGATTAATATTACATATATACAGTATATATATATATGTATATATACAGTGAATGTTCTTTAAAATAGTTTAAATAGCTTTTAAATTTAACTCACATTAAATATGTAATATTTAATTATTATTAATATTAATTAATATTAATTTTAATTTTTTAATTTAAAATTATATAAAATTATTATATTATAATATATATAAATAATATAATAATAATTTATTATATAAATTATGTAATAAAATTAAATAAAAAAATTAAATAAAAAAATTAATTTAATAACTTTATTACTTAAGTATAATAAATATATCATATAATTTATTATACTTAAATTATTAGTTCAACTTTATTATTTTATTATTACCATAACTAAATTAATTATTAATATATTTATTATTAATATAATCAATAATTAAAGTATAACAATTTATTAACTTTTCAAAATTGTGTCTTCATCATTTCATCATTCTAAAAAAACACTAATAAACTTCTAACATTGTAAGATTTTTAAGAAACCTTCACTGTATACATATACATATATATATACACTATATACATATAGACATAAACCGTTTTGTATATATGTGTCCTCAGTCAGTATGTGTGACACACCTTTAGAATAATACCTAATCGTATTTCTCACCGTTCGATCGTTTCTAAAGTGCACACGGTAGCACATCGTTGACGTTTCAAAGTAGAAAATGCTCTTAAAGATCTTCATTGGGTAAATGCATAATACATACCTCTCTCTCTACTACTACTACTACTACTACTACTACTACTATTCCTCTTCTTCCGTTTCAATAACTTTCCTCAGCAAAACACGAACTACTCGCCTTTAATCGTCTCGATCCTTTTTCTTTCTTTTCTTCTTCTTTTTTTTCTTTCTTTTCTTTTTTTTTTTTTTTTTTCAAAAAGCACACACTCGACCGTACATAATACCCCCCGCCCTCCCTTTCCCTCCCCTCCCCTCCCTGTCCCCTCTCTTTCACCCCGATTATCGATTTTCCCATGATCGAAGATTATCGAGCGTGAATCTTCTTACGAATAAGAAAATAGAAAAGGAAAGAACAAAAAGAAAAGAAAA